AACAATTTCTTGGCAAAAATTGGAACATGCTCTTGGATTTCAAAGCAATAAAATATAAACATCCTTCAAGCTACAACATAAACCTTATAATATACTCAAATCATCCATTGCGACATAAACCTCATAATATATTGGTTTGGTAAATTGTAATAATCTAATCAAATTTATTTTTGGGCCATGTATTATTATTTTGTGAAATTCACAAAGTAATAATACATATATTTAATTATTAGACTCCCTCGTTTAAATTATTTTTCTATAAATTTAATACAAACATTAGAAAGTATTATATAAGTAAATATCATAAACTTAGATATATTACTTAAAACCATGATTTAAACTCTAATTTTATATACAATCTCGCAAAGGGAACAAAAAAAAAACATAAAATTCTCAGAAAAGCGGGGCTGGGCAGGCTGGGCTCCACTGGGACGGGGTGGGATAGGGATTGCACTATCCCCTCTCCCAGCCCATCCCCGGGTGTGGGGATTTTTCTGAGGACCATCCCCGGCCCTATCCCCGAATTTTTCGAGGATTCCCTGCCTTATTTGGGCTGGGTCGAGCCGGATTCCCGTGGGGTCGGGGCAAACGCCCATCTTTATCGCTCAGATTGCACATATCAGATCTCTCAGATCATACATATCAGAGCTCTCAGATCACATGCATAAGATCACCCAGATCGCATGCATCAGATCTCTCAGATCACATGGCCAGACCGCTCACGCATCAGAGCTTTTAGATCACGTGGCCAGATTGCCTAGATCACACACATCAGATCGCTCAGATCGTGTGACCAGATCGCTTAGATCACACACATCAAATCTCTCAAATCTGAACGAGCTCCCAAGCTATTGAGCTCCTAAGTTGTCTAGCTCCTAAGCTAATGAGCTCCTAAGTTGTCTAGCTCCCAAGCTCTTGAGATTACACATTCAAGATCATTGAGATCATGTGTTCAAGGTCATTTAGATTGCACTTTCTAGTGGCCAAATAGTGCTTTTGAACACCTAGATCGCGCTTCCCAGCGTACAGATTGTGCTTTTGAGCACCCAGATCACCAACCTTGTGTTCTCAAATCAAGCTTCGTGCTTTCTGATTAAACTCTTTGTGTTCTTAGATCAAGTGTCGCGCTTTCTGATCGAACTTCTTGTGTTCTTAGATCAAGCTCCGCTTTTTCTGATCGAACTTCTTGTGTTCTTATATCAAGCTCCAGTTTTTCTGATCAAACTTTTTACGTTCTCAAATCAAGCTCCGAACTTTCTGATCGAACTTCTTTTATTCTCAGATCAAGCCTCGTGCTTTTTGATCGAACTCCCTGTATTCTTAGGTCAAGCTTCGCGCTTTCTGATTGAACCCCTTGTGTTCTCAGATTAAACTTCATGCATTCTGGTTGAACTCCTTGTGTTCTCAAATCAGGCTTTGTACTTTCTGTTGAACTCTTTATGATCTCAGATCGAGCTCCTTATTCTCTCTGATTGAGCTCATAAGCTAGCTCGTTCGCTTGAGATCGTGCGCTTGAGATCGCTTAGATCGTGTGCCTCAAGCTCTCAGGTCGAGCCCTTATCAGATCACGATCAGCTCCTAGCTCTCAAATCATGATCAACTCTTAGCTCTAAGATTGTGAACAACCTCAGATCATGTTCTCAGCTCTTAGATCATTATCAGTTCTCAGTTCTTAGATCGTGACCAACTGCCAACTTAAAAAAAAAAACACGTATAAAACTCAAAACAGCCTCAAAACATGTTGAAACGATGGATTTTGACCTCAAAAATGACCCCAATTGGTTCCCTATTGCCACGACATGGAGCTCGGAATGAGCTTTTCGTGTGTATCTTATGGACTCCAAAACTTCTCCCGGATCAAAAGTTATGACTGTTTTAAGTTTACATGTTCATTTAGGACATTTGAACCATGTGTTTGGGCTTCTAACGTCAACTCTCTCTAGGAATTCATCTACTAGACATTTTATGTCAGATACTAGATCATGATCAGCTTCGGATCATTCCAAGCTCTCAGATTGCAGTTCTAGCTCTCAACTCAAAAAGTAAACATCTCTAAAGTCAAGTCAGGTCGTGACATAATCATGAAGTTCTCAAGATCTAATTCCTTGAATCTCAAGAACTGGGGAGCTTCTGTTATGCCTAAGAAATCAGGGCTGACATAAGCTGATGTCAGTACCACCAATCAGAGCTCAACAAGCACTTAAAGGACAAAATAACCTTAGCTGTCAAGACCAAATCGACCTAAGAGATATTATATCAATCCTATTCCATTTTAAGATAAGGATTAAGGAGTGGTTCCCACATGTCAAGACAACTTGCAAAAACACTCATTACATTGACCTCAAAGGTATAAATGTGCACCTCTCTTCATAAAAGAAGAGGCTGGAGGCTAGATAGGTGAGAGCTTATTTTTCTCTATAAACATATCATTTCTCCATTTTTGTACGCCTTATAGGCAATACTAGAAAAATAGTCAGAATAATAAAATAATAGTGAGTGTAGAATTCGCTTTAAGCATCTGAACCACTTTAAAAATCTCTCTTATCAATATTTTATGTATGTTTCTTCAAACATATATCATCTCAGTACCATAATCATTAATCATGTGTAATTTCTAAAACCTTCTTAGCATTTTGTTCGTGTGAGGTTGTTGGTGTGAAAATCACACATTAACAACTATGTTCGAAGTGGATGAGTACGGATATGAAAATAGAGGAAAAACTTATACACTCTTATTCACTTAAAGAAATACATATCATACATCTCTAGTTATAGACTAAATCTAGATATCTTGATAACCCTAAGTTAGGATTATCCTAACTTTTAAATGTTAAAATTAGATAATACATAGATAACTCCTAAGTTTTCACATTCTTATCTTAGGAATTTAACAGGATATTGTGTGGTTGCTGTAGTGTTTAAGGGACAAGGCAAGAGCAATGTTCAGATACCATGAAGGATAAACTATATTCTTTTATTGAACGTTGAATGTATTGTTTATATGTTTTAGATAATAAAAAGAAAATTATCGTTACACCGCATTGAGAGAATTGCGGTGTGTATTAACTAGCACATATCAACAATGGAAAGAAATCATGGTTGACCTTGTATAGGTATAATCTTGGTAAATTCTCTTCTATGTCTAGTGTTGGAATCTGTTCTGTTTCTGCTATGATTTGAGCAGATTTATTTCCTTTTTGTCATTCGCTAGTTGTTGTCTTGGCTGGCTTTCCTTCTTTGTTATATTGACTTCCCTTTCTCTTGCATTGATTTCCTTAAACAATTATTAATTACAAAATCATAAAAAGTTTCATGAACAGATTACATTTAAATTTGTTGTTCATATTTCACAGCCTGTATTTTCATTTTTTTTGAAATTTTCTTTTGTCCTCAATTGTATGAGCCTATTTTGAGAAAGGGTTTGACTCCATCATCAAGCTAAAGAAGTTTCAATTTTTAAATTACTAATTTATCCTTTAACTGATTGAGTCACGATACTATAACTTAAATTCTTGACTTAATTATTTGGCACTCTCTATAAATCATTCATTTTTATTAATCCAACGATGACAAAGGTAAAGTTAAAGGTTATACTTAATGACAAAATTTGAGAGTAATTCTGTAATACTCAGTAATTCTCTAAACTTTCTTCTAATCAAAATAGTCCAATTCCATAGATTTTAGTTCTAAAATATCATGTAAGATCAAGATATCTTCGTCTATGAATAAGTAATTTAAAATATCATTAACAGTATTAATAATTGACCATTTATTACAATGTCAAATATGACAGCGTATATGGCAAAGTATTGCATGCATCATTCAAAGTACTTTCTGGTATGCAGATGAGGTGAACGGAAGTAAGGCAATTGCCTTTTGGCTTCCACTTAAATTAGGGAATTGCCTTAGGTTAGCTCTCCCCTTGAATCAGGTCCAAATTTAATAACATTGAAAAATGAATATTGTTTTTCCTTTATTGTTTGAACTAAAACATTATTTGATATCATGAATTAAATATTTATTTTTTTCCAATACGGTTTCTCCAGCATTAAGATTGTCATTCAATGAAAAATCTAATATTTCCAATATATTTCTACTTTTAAATGTAAATTTTTAAGTTAACCTTTTTATCATTCATTATTTCAATGTTTTTTCGTATCCATCTATCTCTGATATTGATTTTTTCATTTTTTGTGTAACTTTTTTTTTCTTTTTTAAGGAATCAAACTACAAAAATCACTGTTACAATGATTGCTTTGAAAGTCTGATATTGAAAGTATGAACGAGAAAACAAAATTAGTTCTAACTTATTAATTATTATCTTGTTACAGTGCAAATAATTTCAAATTCAATGTATATATAATTTTTTTCTAATTACCTAGTTTGTTAGAACATCTCCAAATGACTCTTTATATGACCCAAACTTTTTATTATAAATAGTTTATCCATAAAAATAAGAGTCCAACAGACTCTTTATCTTTAAAATATAAATTAGAGAGTGAATTTGACTCTCCACATTTAAAAAGTCAAATTTTACTTTCTATCCTAATTTTAATTAATAAATTACAAATTCCTATACATTTTATTTATTAATTTTCTCTCACATTAAGTCTCTTTCTTAAAATTAAAGAGTATTTTCATTAAATTTAAAGAGTATATTATACTTGAATAAAAATTGTATTCTTTATATTTAAAAATGAATCAAGATACTCTTTATTTATATGAAAAATGCTCTTCAAAAATAAAGAGTACTATTAAAGATGCTCTTACTATATATCAAAGATGTAATTTAAGGCTGTATGATTCCTTAAGATAGTGGAAAATCCCAAAAAGTAAATCCAACAATCAAACAATTGTCAACTTCCAAAATCCAAATCACATTAATTGCTCTAATTTTGATCACTAAATCAACAAAAAAAATCCCTTTTGCTATATAAACAACCAGATAATACAGATTTCCTACCCACATCATCTTCTTAATCACTACCACAAGTTAATTGATGGAACCCGTTTGGAGTAGTCGCTTTTTCTTCTGTTTTGCATTTTCAATATTATCAGTTACCATTGTTTGTTTTACAGAAGCAAAGAGCGAAGGGTTTAGTCTTGAACTAATCCATCGTGACTCCCCAAAGTCTCCCATTTACAACCCAAAACAAACTCACTATGAACGAGTCTTCAATGCCATACGTCGTTCTTTTAATCATGTCAACCGATTCAATCCAAATACAGCACAAGCTGATATAATCTCCGACCATGGTGAGTATCTTATAAATATTTCAATCGGTTCCCCACCTTTTCAGATTCTCGCCATTGCCGATACTGGTAGTGATCTTATATGGACACAATGCAAACCTTGCTCTGAGTGTTTCGACCAAGAAGCTCCTTTTTTCGACCCCACAAAATCCTCTACCTACAAACAACTTTCTTGCTCCTCAAACCAATGTCAAACCCTTGAGGGTTCATCTTGCTCCAACGACCAAACTTGCCTATATTCAGTTTCTTACGGTGACAATTCCTTCTCACGTGGCGATCTTGCTATCGATACTGTTACTTTGGGTTCAACATCTAGCCGCCCTGAGAGTCTGCCGAAAACCATCATCGGTTGCGGACACCAAAATGATGGTACTTTTGATAATAAAACAACTGGCATAGTTGGGCTTGGAGGCGGTGAGGTATCCCTTGTTACTCAATTGGGTGATTCAATTGGTGGCAAATTTTCTTACTGCTTGATTCCATTGTCATTCTCATCATCAGAGGATAATGCTTCAAGCAAACTTAACTTCGGTAGCAATGGCGTCGTTTCGGGTTCTGGCGTCGTTTCGACTCCTTTGATTTCTAAAGAACCAAAAACTTTCTACTTTGTTACACTTGAAGCAATCAGTGTTGGCAACAATAATAGAATTGTTTTTAATGATTCCTCAGAAGGAGATTTGGAGGGTAACATTATAATCGATTCAGGGACTACATTGACGTTTTTGCCGGAATCATTCAACTCTAAAATGATCTCAGCTGTTTCAGAAGCCATTGATGCTGAGCCTATCAAAGACTCGAGGGCGGTACTTGATCTATGTTACAGTGCGAGGAGTGATTTGAATGTTCCAAATATAACAGTACATTTCACTGGTGCGGATGTGACGTTAAGTCCTTTGAACACATTCATCAGAATTAGTGAGGAAGTTGTTTGTTTCACATTTATGGGTGATAAAGATGAACGAAGCCTTCCAATTTACGGTAACTTGGCGCAGACCAATTTTTTGGTTGGGTATGATACTGAGAAAAAGACTCTGTCTTTTAAACCAACCGATTGCACCAAGGCGTGATTAAGTTTCATTGTGCTTAATGTAATCAAATTATTGGTTAATAAAAAAGTATCAATAAATTCACTTAATGTGTCATAAAAGAGAAAATCTACAATAAAGAGCATATGACTTGATACTACAAACTAATACTTGTCAGTTTTAGGTTTAATTACGAAAAAAAAAAAAAACCCTTTTTTGAGGTTTAGATTACACCAAATCTCCCCCTCTTATGTCAGACTATTGTTATAACAACTTTGTTAAGTCAGACAGTTTAGGGGCATTAAAGTCTTTGCACCTGATTTATATTTTGAAAGTTGAAAACAAAATTTCAGCTAGCGTTGATGGGTACGCTTATCACCCTAGGATATATACTACATGGATTATTTATTCCCAACTTTTCACTTTTCACTTCTTCTTCCTTCCATCATCGCGTCAAATACACAGAGAATGAAACCCTTAGAGAACTCACCATTTTCAAGTAATGAAGAACCATTAGCGAAACAAAAAACCGAAAGCTCACGACTTTGAAATCGTGAAGACACTGGTGCAAGAAGTTGAAGAAGAATGGGGTTAGTTTCTTCTGTAACCGTTACTTTAAACCTTGTCTTTTTTCTAAAAAAGTTTTCTTGTATGATAGTGAAGTATGTAAAGACCGAAGGTACTCTAAACATTGGTTTTTGTAATCTAATGAATAATGTCATAAAATGGGTTTCTGTTATAAAAATGGGAACTTTGCTCATATATCTGGTTCTATGTTTTTTTTGTGTGTTTGTTAATGGTATGACAAATGTGAATGCATGTTGTATATATGATCTTTTATATGAATGAACCACTTTTTTGTTAGGTCAAAAAATGGGTTTTTTAATATTATTTGATAGTAATATTGTATGGAGTTTAAAATGGGTTTATTGTTATGACAACTGATTTTTTATTAAGATTTTTTTACTTCTGTTGCAACCGAAGCGGAGCTGTTTGTATAACCATGTTTTGTTTCGTAGCTGTTTGGTGAAGTGAACGAAATGGGGGTGGTGTTGTTTTGTACAATATAAGTGTACTGGGTAGTTTCGTGCTTTGGAGAAAATGATGAAATTGTTTTCTTAATTTATTTTTGTAGCGTATATTTAGGGTTGCTTTTGTTCTGTTGTGGTGTACTGTTTGGTGATATAGTGTGTTTGTGTATGACTTGTTGATGAAGTAATAAAATAAATGTTATGACTTGTTGATGAAGCAATAAAAGTTGGGTTATACTATTGTTACTGTGCACTTAGGTGATCATATAGTGTGTTATGTATTGTTGATAAAGGTTTGAAGAAGAAAAAATTAGTTTTGACATAACCATGTTTGGAGAACCTTATTGGATTTCGTATGTTACTCCTGACACATATAGTAGGATTAGTTTGATAGACGATGCTAGGATGTTGAGTTGTGGGTTGCCTTTAAGTGCTGATGAATTATATGATGCGTCTGTCAACTTGCCTTGCTCAAGTACTAAGTACAGGGTAGATAATGAGATTGATTTCACCTCCATGTTTAAGATGTTTAGTGAGAGGGGTACTTTTAGGATTAACATGCCAATTGATGTTAAGTGAGAGGGGTATTCATAGGATTAACATGCACATTGATGTTGTCCCACTTGCATAATCCCATCCTTTCTCATAAAGTAACCAAAAATGTCGGTGAACGAATAACCCAAACTGCACCCAAAACTAAACCAAAACTTTCTTTGAAGGTGAATTATAATGTAGAGCATGAGGAATTGATAGATGTTGAAGGGGCTAATTAGAGTGGGGTTGACAGTGAGGAAGACAAATGAGAGCGGGTTTGGGGATGATAGTGAGGTGGAAGTAGTTCAAGGAAAGGGTAGTGATAGTGAGCCTTTAGGAGATGAGGATTGTAATTTGAGAGATTACCATTCTGACGATGATTATGATTATGTTGGTAGTGGCCAAGTGGGGATGAGAGTGAAGTTGCAAAACAATCTAGGGAAGTTGTAAAAAGAGAATTTGTGGAGCAATCAGATAAAAAAGAACCACCTCATTTAGAAATTAGGCCAAACATTTAGATACATATATCACTTTAGAGAGGTGATAAAGTGAGGTTTGCATTAGGTAAAAAGGAAGAATGAGAATGAGAAGTTCACTACCGAGTGTGCTACACCTGGCTACCATTGGAGGATACATGCTTCAAGGTCAAGTGAAGATGACATTCAACCTTGAATAAAACTATCAAATAGTTAGGGTTAATTCAGAGGCCAAGACTAAGTGGGTAGCTAGGGAATTTGCAGAGGAAAGTCAAGTCAAACCCCAAACCTAATGTGAATGAAATCAGAGATGAAACATTCGATAATTGGGGGGTGAAGATTAGTAAACACACATGGTGTAGGGCAGGCACTAAAGAACGTAGGTGGAAACCATGAAGAGGCATACAGTTTACTGTATAGGTACTGTGATGTAATAAAACTCACTAGCCTTTGAATCCATGACTAAGATTGCCACTGTAAACCTAAAGATGATGAGGCACCTAGGTTTGTAAGATGTTTTTACAATTTCCCTGCAGTTAAAGAAGGTTTCATTCGATTAGATCTTTGATAGGATTAGATGGGTTTTTGCTAAAGGATTCCTACCAAGGTATCTAACAGTTAGTAAAAACCAGTAGTATGTATAACATTTCTGTTCCTTTATACGCTTGGGGTGGCAATAATGTCAAAGCTTTGGGCTATTGGGTAATGTCGGGTTGCCTGCTTTTGTTTCTTGTTCCCACAGTTATCCTCTTTTCTCTTTCTCGAGTCCTTCCCACTCTTTGGCCTATGTCTTTAGGACATATGTTCCTCGACATCCGCAGCAAGCAGAGCTATTCATCTCGCCTTCATATATAGTTTATAGATTTATGTTCTCTGAAGGATTCATAAAGTTTGTCTTTTCTTACTGCTCTGTAAAATGCATTTCGGGTGTAGGTATGTTTTGCAGCTCTAAATTTCATCACTTTAGAGTGAAACTGGTTAATAAAATTACGAAGGGACTCATGCTCTTCTTGGTATAAGTCGAGTTGCAGAGAGGGATCCCTGTCGTGATGTGTAGCTTTATCACTTTATCCTTGACTTGGTGTCCCTGAAGCCTTCGTCAAGTAGACCACTGCTTTGTACAAGAAATAGCAAAGTTCTTGCAGGATTGCAGTGTTAAACAGAAGTAAGATGCTAATATTCGTTACAGTTAGCTTTCAATTGGAGTGCTTAGTATGAAGCTTTTCCGTATGAATTGTTGTGTACCATTCTATGCCATTAGTCTCTTTTACATAGTAAAGTAGAGAGAATTTTAAGAGGTTACTTTCCTTGGTGGGGTAGGAGCTCGGGTAGAAAATAAATGTTTGTTTTTAAGAGAATTACGCGATCTCTCTCCTGTTTGGGATTGAATCCTAGTCATATTCACTTTCTGTTAGATGCGTGATTTTGACACCAACGACGTTATATATGTAAAGTGTTAGAGAGTCTTAAAAATTATACGTGAAATAATTATGAAAGTTGTGGTGACATATGCTTGTAAAAACATAAATAAAATATTAACAAGAGAGATTTTTATAGTGATTCGGATGCTTAAAGCGAATTTTTCATCTACTGTTATTTTATAATTCTCTGACTATTTTTCTGACACTGACAGTTGATCGCGATCTGAGAACTAAGAACTAATCGCGATATGAGAGCTGAGAACATGATTTGAGGTTGTTTGCAATCTCAGAGTTGAGAGTTGATCACGATCTAAGAGTTAGAAGTTGATCACGATCTGATAAGGGCTCAATCTAGGAGTTTGAGGCATGCGATATGAACGAAACGAAGCGCGCGATCTCAAGATAAGGAGCTTGACCTGGAGCTTGCGATCTAAGAGCTTAAGAAGCTCGATATGTGCATGCGATCTAAGCGATTTGAAGCGCGTGATCTGAACGATCTAATGCACATGATCTCAAGCAAATGAGCGAGTTTATGAGCTCGATAAGTGAGCATAAGAAGCTTAAGGATTCGATCAGAAAGCACAGAGCTTGATCTGAGAATAAAAACAGTTCGATCAGAAAGCGTAGAGTTTGATCTAAGAACATAAGGAGTTCGATCAGATATAGCTTGATTTGAGAACACAAGAAGTTTAATTAGAAAGTGCGAAGCTTGATCCGAGAACACAAGGAGTTCGATCAGAAAGCGCAAAGCTTGATCTGAGAACACAAGGTTAGCGATCTGAGCGCTTGAAAGTGTGATCTGAGCGTTTGAAAGTGCAATATGAATGATTTGAACGCGTGATTTCAATGATCTTGAACGTGTGATCTCAATGATCTTGACTGCATGATCTTAGTGATCTTGAATGCGTGATCTCAATGATCTTGAATGCGTGATCTCAACGACCTTGAACATGTGATTTGAGCGCTTTGGGAGATAGAGAGCTTAGGAGCTCGATAGCTTGGAAACTTGAGAGCTTGGGAGTTAGAGAGCTTGGGAGCTCGATAGCTTGTGAGCTAGAGAGAGATCTTTCTAATCTGAGAGATCTGAGCGTGCGATCTGGGTGATCTGACCGCGCGATCTAAGAGATCTGATACATGCAATTTAAGCGATCTGGTTGCGCAATTTAAGAGATATGATGCTCGTGATCTGAGTGATCTGACCATGTGATCTGAGATATCTAATGCGCGCGATCTGAGTGATCTTGTCACGATATCTGAGTGATCTGATCTGATGCGTGCGATCTGAGTGATCTGGCCATGCGATTTGAGAGCTCTGATAAATGTGATATCAGTGATCTGGCCATGTGATTTGAGAGCTTTGATGCGTTCGATCTGAGTGATCTAGCCGCACAATCTGAGAGCTCTGAGATGGAACAAGCTTTAGTATTTTGATGATAATTTGAGCTGTAGACCTCAGATTTTGATGATTCTTAAATCATCAAAAAGCTGACTCGAAGGGCTACAATTCTTGTGTTTGCGGCTTCTCCAGATTTAGACTTTATTTTGCTCAGATTTTTACATTTGATAACAAGATTCTGGGA